TGCAGCACGGCACGGCAGGGACCGGCACCAGGGAGGATGCAGACAGGAACCAGCTCTGGGTGGAGAACCAGCCCTGGAGAAGGGACTCAGCCAACCCCTCCCCAGCTACTCGAGATCAGATCCCTCCTGCCTTTCCTTGCTGCCCCTTCCCTCGGTGACTGCAGAGCCCGGACATGTTTCAGGAGCCCCCGTGAGTCAGCAGCACCTGCAGGTCTCAAATCTCTGAAGCATTCCCCAGCACAGCAGCTGCCAGCCCACACGCTGGCTCCAGGCTGCCGGGGAAGGGGGGCAGTGGGGCTGCGGGAAGGATGGATTCTGCTGGAAGGCTAAATCCTGCTGGAAGGCTGGATCCCATCTCTTTGCAGGACAATGGGCATCGGGGGTGTCAACGTCCCACTGGAAGAGAAATCGAGGGATGCGCAGGTGGCCTTTTACACGGGAATCTACGACACAGAAGGGGTGCCCCACACCAAGAGCGGGGAGAGACAGCCCATCCAGGTCAACATGCAGGTATGTGGTTCTCCAGGCCTGGCACAGGAAGGCAAGGGAGGGCAGCGGGGGGTTGACTCTCAGAGAGGGAGTTGTGGAGGTGAAATATTCCAGGGTAAAGTCAGGTCACAGCTGCTGCACTCCTCTCCGCTTTGCGTCAGTAGGAAAACACGAGCCCTGCTTCCCAAGGGGAAGCCAAGAGAGCAGCCAGGGCCAGGAATTAGTAGGGGCACTTCTAGAGATTCACATAGTCCTCTGGGGTGCTGCAGGAGAAAGGAACAGGAGCTGAACTTCTCACCTTTTCTGCAGGGTGTATTACAGACTTCAGGCAACTCCCACCAAGGTCACTGGCTAGTCCAGTCCCAAGCCCTTAGCATGCAGGGCTCCTCCTTTTGCCTGCCAGCACTGCCAGGTTTTTTGTAGCAGAGCACACTCCAAGCACAAGGGGTGACTGCTCTCCCCTCCCACCTGACACCCGCAGGATGCCTGAGGCTGGAAGCAGGTGTGAGAACACACACCCCATCCCACCCCTCAAAGGATGTCTTCTCCCTTTCTTTTCCCCATGTGCTTCCATTATCAAATGATCTCCACATCCACAAACCCAAGTTCTTATTCAAGCAGCTCCTCACCCCAACCTTGAAGAGAAGCTCCAAGGGCCAGAATCAGCACATGCCCCAGCCCCAAAGAACGGTGACAAAAGCTCAAGCCCATAAGGCAGCAGAGCTGATGGAAGACAGGAAGCAGCAGGCAGATTTCCACAGCACTCTGTGGGTGGTGTGCTCGGGGTGCAGACACAGATGCCTTTAGTTCTGACTTTGGTTTGTTCTTTGGTTTCCCCCCCCCTCCTGATTCCAGTTGTGAGGGATTCCTGCTGTGTATTCTGTGCCTCCTGTACCAATAAGGGGAGAGGGGGCAGTAAGCCATCTGCATCTGAAGGGTCTGTTCCAATTTATACAAGTTTAGGACCTTGCCAAGCCCACTAGATTTCAGCTTTTTCTCACATTTGCTCACTGCACTCAAGATTCCATCTTGATTTTTATTTTCACTGTTTTTCTCCTGGAATCACCATTTAGCACAGCAATCCCCTTCTGAATAAGAACTGTAACGTCTCCATTTGGAGTTTCTAGTTAATTACAGCATGCGTAACAATTTTGGAGACCCACATCACACTGACAGTTACCACTTCATAATCTTCAGGCTACCCTGAAGTATTTGTCCACTTTTCTATACAGTCACCTCCTTTGAACACTCAGGAAAAGCAAATGCCCAGTATGACCTCTGAACCAGCAGAACAGGGCTGCTGGGCACCACTGGCGAGTACTGCAGTTGTATTTCACAGCATCCTAATACCAGGAGGGGAAAGGGCAACGCTCCCAAAACTCCATGCGCTTTGACTAAGGCATCCCCGTTTTGATAGCCACCTTCACCCTTAAGCGTAGCACTGATGTGAACCTCTGAAAATCTGCAAGTTTGACATTTCTTATGGAGAAAACCAAGTCAAATGACAAATGAAGTCATTCCAAGAAACGCAAGGAGGGTCTGGTTTTCACATACAAGCTCTGAGCTGGTTTGTTGCAGCACCAGAATGAGTAACCACAATATCTGTCCAAACAGTTGCTTTGACAAACCAAATCCTGGGATATTAAACATGAAGCTAATAGAATTTTGAAGCGTTAAGCATGTCCTCAACCCCCTTTAGGATTTGATATTGATAGACAGGTTCTTAAGTACAGGCTTTTATGTCCAGAATTGATACTTTTAAGTATTAAATATAGGCAACTCAACAGGGATTGACATGTTTAACTCACCATTTAGCTGCTTAGCTAGACAGAGCTGTAACAGATTTAGGGAATCGGCTTCAGACACCCCAGCCTGAAAACTGCTTCTAATACCCACTTCCTGAATCTTCCAAACTGGGCTTACTGCATACAGCTTTACATTCTCCTATTTCCTTCAACTATGAGAAACTTCTGCCTTTGCTTCCTTTTCTAGAACAGCCAAGATCCTGATGCATCCCAGGGAGATAAGGAGACTATTTAAGGCATAAAAATCTGAATTTACATTAGAAGTAGATGGTGAGGCCAGTCCTGCAGTTAAAAACTGGCCAATCTAATGCCTGAAAGGCAGAAGGCACATAAAGGTCAGTTAAGAATTTATTTCCCATCTGCTTTAAAACTTTAAACAAGTAATTCTTTGTGCTTCTACTTTAACTGTTAGAGCCACAGTTTATACACGTAAAACAACAATCTGAATTCTAGGCTCTGAGCATGTGTGTCTGGTACCTGAATGCTCAGTTATGTGCACTGTCCAGAAACTGATGAATTGTCTAGCAAATGGGGTGAAATAAGTTAGAAACCTCTCTTTGGGTCTCATTCTTGGTTACTGTCTAGCAAATGGGGTGAAGAAACCTCTCTTTGGGTCTCATTCTTGGTTAGACCAGACTAATATTGAATAAAGAAGCTAGACCTCAATTCCCAGTAATAAAAAGCTATCAAATCATCCTAGCATGCAAATTCAGAGGGAGTGATATTAAATAACTATTCATGCCTACAGCACTGGGTGACAGGGGACAGCAGCCAGGGAAACAGGCTTCCAAGCCTG